ATGTTGGGATCTACATTGTGATTACCAGTTAGCATTCACATGCTCCTAGTTGGGATCTACATTTTGATTACCAGTTAGCATTCACATGCTCCATGTTGGGATCTACATTGTGATTACCAGTTAGCATTCACATGCTCCTAGTTGGGATCTACATTTTGATTACCAGTTAGCATTCACATGCTCCATGTTGGGATCTACATTTTAATTACCAGTTAGCATTCACATGCTCCATGTTGGGATCTACATTGTGATTACCAGTTAGCATTCAGATGCTCCATGTTGGAATCTACATTGTGATTACCAGCAAGCATTCACATGCTCCATGTTGGGATCTACAGTGTGATTACCAGCTAGCATTCACATGCTCCATGTTGGGATCTACATTGTGATTACCAGCTAGCATTCACATGCTCCATGTTGGGATCTACATTTTAATTACCAGTTAGCATTCACATGCTCCATGTTGGGATCTACAGTGTGATTACCATTTAGCATTCACATGCTCCATGTTGGGATCTACAGTGTGATTACCAGCTAGCATTCACATGCTCCGTGTTGGGATCTACATCTCTATTAGAAATGCAACATAAATCAAGATACATGCACTATACTGAGAACCCATTTTAGTTTTGCAAAATACAAATTTCAATGCAAAGTGACATCTTGTAGCTGTGAAAATCTGAATCTTGAATGGGAGAAGTTTATGTGTGAAGTTTGTGATCAGTCCAGACAAGTCTGAAATACAGGTGTGGACAGATGGCTGCACTCTGATTGTGGTCAATACAAAGAAAACTTTTCTCGTATATATTGTGTCTGAGCCAGTGCCAGTTTTTTGGAACTCTCTGGATAAATCATGTTGACTTATGACCAAGAATTTTATATGCTCAGAAATAAACAAAATTAACAATGTCTTTCACTGAAAAATATAGAATGTTTGTTCATATAGGCTGACAGCTAATAATTAACATTGCAATGAACATCTGGAATGATGACCAACACAGCCATGGTCAACCAGACTGAAGACCATCACAGCCATGGTCAACCAGACTGAAGACCAACACAGCCATGGTCAACCAGACTGAAGACCAACACAGCCATGGTCAACCAGACTGAAGACCAACACAGCCATGGTCAACCAGACTGAAGATCCACACAGCCATGGTCAACCAGACTGAAGACCAGCACAGCCATGGTCAACCAGACTGAAGACCAGCACAGCCATAGTCAACCAGACTGGAGACCAACGCAGCCATGGTCAACCAGACTGAAGACCAACGCAGCCATGGTCAACCAGACTGGAGACCAACACAGCCATGGTCAACCAGACTGGAGACCAACACAGCCATGGTCAACCAGACTGGAGACCAACACAGCCATGGTCAACCAGACTGGAGACCAACACAGCCATGGTCAACCAGACTGGAGACCAACACAGCCATTGTCAACCAGACTAGAGACCAACTTAGCCATGGTCAACCAGACTGAAGACCATCACAGCTACGGTCAACCAGACTGGAGACCAACACAGCCATGTTCAACCAGACTGGAGACCAACTTAGCCATGGTCAACCAGACTGAAGACCATCACAGCTACGGTCAACCAGACTGGAGACCAACACAGCCATGTTCAACCAGACTGGAGACCAACACAGCCATGGTCAACCAGACTGGAGACCAAAACAGCAATGGTCAACCAGACTGGAGACCAACGCAGCCATGGTCAATCAGACTGGAGACCAACACAGCCATGGTCAACCAGACTGGAGACCTACATGGCAATAGAAAACATTCTACATGTATTAATTATTTTTGTTAAATGTAACTTGACAATTAGACAGATGTGCTTCTCATAAAGAAAACTTTATGTTAGAGTTTAGATTAATCATGCATTAGTACACTTAAGCAGCCATCTTTAGATCAGAATGATTAAATTCTCTGTCATGCCCATTCTTTTCTTATGTCTCAGGTCATCAGATCACATAAGCATAAATTATATGGTTGTCGTTAGCTGCAGCTAATCAGGCAGTAATGTGGTTATTGCTACCTGTAATAGGATTCTAATTTGTAGTATAACAGAGAGGTTGTGAGTCACCTTCCTATGACAAAGTATAATAACAGTTGTCAATGTTTATCTGTGACTCTAGGGGTAACTGATTGTGTTTGCCCCAAACCATAGACATACACGGCAGATAACAGAGAATTTAATGACTCAGGAAAATACCTCAAATTGAGACAGACAATAAAAAATATAACTTTATAAATACAACCACTGACATATTTGAAGATTCCCAGTGTCTATTCTCTGCAACTTACCAGTCGCCTGAGTTACTACTAGAGGGCAGGCTCTGGGTGCCTCAACTTGGACAAGACGAACGACCTGAGGTGGAGTACAGCTGTTTTCTGTGTATGTTAAATGTACACACAATTGATGACTATGCTATGACTAAATTCAATCTGATTGGCGAGTACATGGTCATGTGATGTTAATATGATCAATGAGTTAGGGAGCTCCCGGTCTGAGCACATGCAGTGAGCCAGTATTGTATGGCCATTTATAGCTCACTGCACATGCTCAGATGAATAGTGAATGAATAGAAATGAAGTGGTAAATCAACATGAGTGAAAACACACACACACACACACACACACACACACAAACACACACACACAGTAACATCATGTGAAACTGCAAAGAAATTATTGGATTACACAATATTTAGCTAGGAAAATACCAGGCCTGGTAATCTGGCAATACAAAGGCTGTTGGTAGCTGGAAATAAAAGATTTACTTATTATTGTAGAGACACAAAAACCTTGCATACATCCAGCTAACCAGTCACTGACACACAATTAGAACACACATAGCTACCACACCAAAGTACAAGAATGCATACACATATAGCCACTATAACATTATTGCAGTACAGCAAAAGTGGAGGAAACAGTTAACTTACCGACAGACTGAGCAACTCTAATGTCTCGCTGTGGCTGTGGCTGTGGATGATATTGCTGTACCCTAGGTGGCTGTTGGAGCTGTGGTTGCTGTGGAGGTCGAATTGGTGGCTGTATTGGGATAGGTCGGAGCTGCATGGGGGGAACATATTTAGAGGCACTGGGACCATCTTGTAAGCGTCTGGCTCTGGCTTCTTGTGCTTGTAACATCTGAAAATTTTTCCTCAATGTAGACTCTCCAGGAGCCTGTACAATAGAACTGCAACAAAACATTATACTTAAGCTATGTAGACAGAAGTACATAACTGTACATAACTATCAATAACAGTTTGTGTTAAAATGTTGCAACGTGAAACATTAGTTTAAAACTACAACGTCAGGTTGTAGTTTGTAATGAGGTCATTGGGGTCAAACTGATATTTTGATTCACACAAAAAAATACAATTGCGAAATCTCTGAGATTGTTCATTCTTAATATATATACACTATAAGTAACAATACACTCAATTCAGGAGGTAATCACTGCCAACTCATCTTGAAATGATCTCGTCTTCTCTCAATTGTACATGTAATTGCTATGATGAGATTTTACAATATCAACTCAAGAGGGCGTCCTCCATATAATCATTGCTTGAGTGAGACCCTATAGGTCACGATTGCCTTATAAACAACCCAACTGACAACTAATCGATCTATTGCCAAATGCATCATGACAACATAACGAGTAAAGCCTGCTTTTTGATAGATTACTATTTTAAGTCATTGTCAATGACACGTCCCCGTTCCGTTCATATTTGAGTGACATATACATTCAAAGCAGATCATGACCGAAATGCACCTGTATATGTACAACACATTGTACTAAATCTGAACAAAATCCATCCATGCATGACTGAGATCCGGTTCCGGAATTGTGAAAATACGCGATTTTGATGCATTTTCAGCCTTAAAATGGCCATCATTCAGCTATTGTTAAGCGGATCATGAAACAAATGCACATATCTATTTGTGACATGATGTACAATGTACCATGTGTGTGTGAAGTTTGAACTTGATCAATCCAGACATGTCTCGGATACGGATCCAGAACTGAATTCTTTAAAACAAAATGGCCAACAGTCGGCCATTTCGAACTTGATCCGAAAAAAAAAATGACGTGCATCAAGGTCCTATTATGTTTAATGTATGTACCAAATTTGAACAAAATCCGTCCATGCATAACTGAGATCCAGGTCCGGAATGGTTAAAATGTGCGATTTCAATGCATTTTCGGCCTTAAAGCGGCCGCCATTTGGCCATCGTTAATGAGATCAGGAAACAAATGCACATACATATTTGTGACATGATGTACCTTGTGTGTGTGTGAAGTTTGAACTCTATCAATCCAGGCATGTCTCAGATACGGATCCAGAACTGAATTCTTTAAAACAAAATGGCCGCCAGTCGGCCATTTTAAACCCGATCCAAAAAAAAAAAATGACGTGCATCAAGGTCCTATTATGTTTAATGTATGTACCAAATTTGAACAAAATCTGTTCATGCATAACTGAGATCCGGGTCCGGAATGGTGAAAAAAATGCGATTTTGATGCATTTTCGGCCTTAAAATGGCCACTATTCGGCTATCGTTAATCAGATCATGAAAAAAATGCATGCGCATATGTCCCATATAATGTGTGATGTATGAGTGAAGTTTGAACTTAATCGGTCCATGCATGTTCGAGATACAGGTGATCACGGACGCACACAGGACAAAACATAAGTCCCCGTTTTCGGACTACGTCCGAACGGGGACTAATAAAAAGGTCAACCTGTTAAGCTGGAAGCATGAACGGGGAACTTTATCACTAGTTCAGCGATAACATCTCAGTCCAGTAACTTATCAATGTAAATTAACACTATTTTTCTGTGGAATGAATTTTATGTCTGTTCGACAGTTTTTGAGATATCAGTAGAACCACTAAAAACATATGTAAATTAGATAATTATAGGAGCATCTACGTACCAAATGTTTCATAGAACGAGTGAGTGGATCTTACAATATCTTTCAAATTGCTAAAAATTGGATATTTTATGCAAACCTATTTACCATGTACCAGGTTTCATTAAAATTTGTTAGGTGGTTCTTGAGACATCTTGAAGTTGTCTAATTTATGGATGTATCAAACCTAAACTTATCCCAAGATTCATTGAAATGCAACGCTTCTCGATATATGAGTGTAAGTTACCTTGGTTCTCCCTGGTCAGCGACCTCATCATCGCCTTCATCCTCACTGCTATGGTACTCATAATCGGTTGAGTCATCAACTGTAAGTACAGCAAATATGCAGTAATTAGTATCAACAAAAAGACACCATGTCAAATAAAGTTTTGAGTTCCCTGGTTGCTATGTTACTGAGCGTTTACCTGCAACAGAAAGGTAACTCAA